TGTGTTTCTTGGAGTTTAATAAAATTCAGTTTCATTTAAAAAAATTAGCTTGATACTTGTTAAATATTCTTTGCTACCACACATAGCAGTGGTTCTGCATATTAAGAACAAGGTTCTGTTTTAATTGTTTCTCTTTGCATCTGAACAGTGATGAAGAATGTAACATTGCAGAAGTCTTGAATCCATTGATGTTTGATATGTCCTGCAGTCCATTGGAGGTATAAGAGCAGAGCACGCTTCAGAGCTTTTGAACAGTGTTCTGTGCACCAGCTCATGTTACCCACTACTCTTTTTATAATGCTGCCAGATTGTAGGATCCTGTTTCTAAGCATCACAGGAGACTTCAGGGTCTCTTTTTATTCATAGTTGACACAATAGCATATATTTTTAAGTCCAGTGCTAATATAACACATCATTTTCTGCAGTACTGAGGAGGAGTTGGGAGTTTGGGAAGATTGATGTAATTGCTGAATTGAAGATGGTTGTAGCCTTCATCTAAACTGTGAGGCTGTTTTTTATGGCACGGCTGTTGGTATGTAATAAGAGCGCATGCTGCATGGGCAGTTTTGGCTGAAGTGGGGAGATTAGGCCCTTGAGAACCTCACCAATTCAGTGCTGGGAATCCCTTTGATCCATTATCCATTTGTCTCGACATATATTTGTCTCGACAATGAAATATAGCTGCATAAGTAATTGCACAAAGGAATATTCTTTCATCTAATTCTGTATTGAAAATCCTTGAGCAAGTATCTTCATTGACTGAGGTGTTCCCGTTTACTTTGTGACTAGATCTTGAGGGTTTAACCTATTTTCAGGGAAAGGGGAGTAAGGTGCATAGAAATAGGCTAGAAGGAAGAGAGCATGTAATCTGGTTAACACAAATTCACTTTCAAGAGGCAACCAGAGGCCAGCCATTGTATACACTGCCCTTTCTGAACTGGCAGGGTAATAGAGTTTTGGACCAAACCCCTGTGTACCAGGAGATGGCACTGTTTATTGCTCTGTGCCATGGGCAGCTTGGAGTTCTGGGTGGTTTAGAGTCAACAGGTAAGTGACCGTATTGGATCCATATTTCAAGTGCTTTGTCAGGTTGTCCCCCTTTACTCCAGGCATTTTCAGATATTTCTAACAGGTAAGAAAAAATTGGTGGAAGTGAAATGTGGCAGTATGATGCAGTATCTGCCTAAACATAGGTCAAATCTGTTGTATTACTTTCTGCTGGGTATTCCCAATCCCATCTCAGCCTTTAAGGAGCCCAGAGAATAAATTCGTGTTATGCATGACACTATCTTGCAAGTAGATCGTAAATGACATTGCCTGATGGTTTCTAAATATTGGGAAGGTACTTACCTCTTATAAAGTCCCACTAGTAGCTTTCAGTATAAAAAGCAGTATTATCTTTTCTGTGTGGATAAGACTGTGCATTGTCTCTGGCATTGAGGGATGTAAAAACAGAAGTAGATGTGCTTAAATTGCCCAGTTAAGACTTGCTTTTGCATTTCTGCTGCTGTGATGAGACTTAATTCTGCTTTACCTCTGGGTTCCCTTCAGGGTCAGCTATTTATACACCTTTCTGTGGGAATGTTTCTCCAACACAAATAAGATTACACGTGCAGTGCAGTGTACTGTTCTGTGGTACATGTACAATTTCATTAGGGTGCCAGAAGTGGTCACTCCCTTGAGAGTTTCTTGATCATTCTTTTCTCTTCATTACATAAAGTTGGCAGTGATGAAGCAAAGAATATTGTGTCCTGCCATGATATGATTCATAAAATTAATCTGACAGCAACGTTTTAGCAGCAGTGCGGCTCAAAACACTACTTAGGAAGATTGCTTTAAACTTTTAAGGTAGTAGGCAGTTTTCTCTTTGTGCCAATTCTTAATTGCTTCCAGTATAATTGCCATGTGAGCTGTTTGCAAATCCTGAGCTCTTTCAGCCAAAACATTTTGCCTTTTCTGGGAATAAGGATAGGAGAATATATGCTTGCTGTTGTTAAAATACTCTGGTAGGTTCTAGCATCTCTATGTTTAGGGCAGGGAACTGAAATCTGTCAGGGGTGTGCCTTCTGCCTAACTTAAATCACATTAGCTAAACTGAACTAAATACGTCATGGAAAACTTGCAGGAAGGGGCTTGGTAGAGAGCTAGATCTTAGCATTTTCCATCTGCTCTGGCCCTGACACAGGCTGCCAGTGCATTTCCTAGGCTAAGCCCTGGCGACTGAACGGCACTGCTAAATGCTTTGAGTCACCGTCATTTGTTAGCTCAAGTGCTTGAGAACTTTGGAAAACAGAATTCATTTGCTGCCGATGAACGTTTGTGTTGCGTTTGTGTGATAGCACAGAAATGTGGATTTCCAGTTTTCTTATAATTCCTTAAACTGTCCATCTACCTACCTCCTGCCTGCACAAAAATCTGGTCAGCAAAGAGCATGAAAGTGACAACTTAGATTATCCGAATTCCCTCCTCTTACTGCTTAATTTCAGTTCACATTGGATGGTAGAATAAATAAATCAAAGGGAAACAAAAAGGGCAGTAATCACGCATTTTTAATCCACAAATATGATAATACATCATATACTTAAGGTGACCTGAACATTGCCCATATTTTAGCAATGTTATTACATACCAAGCTACAAGTACAAAAGTAAACAATGGATATACAGGATATGCAAGTATGAGAAATACTTGAAAACATCTCTTTCCTTAAGGCTACTCAGATTTATAAATAAAACAGCAGATGTTCAGCTGGTGTGTCTAAAATACCAGAATCTGAATATTGATACTTGCAACACACAAACAGAAAGTCAGAGAGATCCCTTTCCTTTGGACATCTTGAAAGTTAAATAATCCTTTCTTCTGGCTTTAAAAAAACCCTAAAAACTTCAATTTGTTTGCCACAAGTGAAACAAACACACAAAATCTGAAATGTGCACTGAGACAGGAGTGTTGGATACGATAAATACTGTTCAAAAGCATCAATTGACAAGTACGTGCTTGGAAAAAATGCAGCTACTGGTGCATGTAAGTGTGGTTCTGCAAATGGTTGAGCTTGCAGCTCCAGATGTTGGTGTGTTTTACTCTGCTGTGTTGCAAAGGAGTTGTCCACTTTCATTGATATTGATTTTAATTTTTATGGTTAAAGGAAAGATGAGGGGAAAATTTACATCGTTACAAGCTGCTCTGCTGGTATCTTGTGCTGCCGTTTTTACTGTGCTCCAAATGATTTCTCCTCGGAACAGACAAAAATCCATGTGGCACAACACGAGTACGTGATCTGGGTATGTGTATTCTCTGTGTAATGGTGTGACAGTCAGAACTGTTGTTTTAAGAGAGAAAACACAGTTATTCTGGGGTGAGGAAAGACAGAAGAAGTAGAATAAAATTTTGAACAGTTTTCTCTACCACCATAGTACTTAAGAACTTAAATGAGAAACATGAACTTTTTTAATCCTAGAGTAATAAATTATCAACACTGGAAGTTTTCCTTAGAGAGGAATGGCTTTCAACTATATTTTCTTGTCTTTGTCAATTTTCAAGCACATGCATCTCTGTATTATATGTGATATGGTAACAACCTCCAGATAATGGGATTGTCTGCTGTGTCAACTAAAAGGAGCTGGTACATGACACTGAAATGCCAGTAGATACAGGTGAGGCTGGAGGATAACATGTAGAGGGTGAGGAGAGATTTCCAAATACACTTCCTTAACTTGGGGTCAGTCAGCACCATCCCAGCGGCAGGATCCTACAAGTGGCAAGCTCGTGTATCTGCTCTACTCCCGTTCTCCCTTAATCCTAACAAAACTGGACAGAAACCACTATTTCTTTGCAAAATGTTTCCAGATTGCAGACATCAGTATATTTTGTTTAAAAAAGGGGGAAAAAAAGTCACTGACAACAGTCTGAAGAAAAAAAAATCATTCATGAAGCTCCACGGGGTGGCTAAGACTGTTCTCTTCAGGCTACTGCAGATGTACTACCCTTGGATGGCAATGCAAGCATGAGTGGGGCTTCTTTTATCACACCTCTGGTATTACTGTAGGCACAAATTAATGTCGTGGACACATTAAACTGAGATTTTATCTAGGCTGAGTATTTTGAGGATAGGGAATGTAAACGTTGCTCCATTGGCTTCACTCCATTGGTGTCAGTTGTGTTCCTCTTCACAAGTGCAATTTCAAAATCCTCATAAAGAATGTTTTGTTCTGTCAGGCATAACAGTAAGAGCACAAAGAGCAGCACAACCTTCAGCCTAAACTTGTCTAATGTTACCAAATACACAAACCCTGAGAGTGGGGATACCGATGTACTACTTTATCCAGTTTTCTGGTTACCTTTGAGCTTGAACTATTGAGCTGCTTTTTCAATTTAAAATGAAACCTTCCCTATGTTAGCAGGTATGAACCAAAACTCTCTAATGAAAACATTGCTTCACAGACCAGTTCTTTAAGTTTTCTTCCACTTCTACTCAGTTTGCATTATTTGTTACTCCCCTATCAGACTTAAATACCATGCAAAATCAGAGATGGCTTTTCATATTGATTCCTGATCCTTCTGGAAGGAGTGAGCTTAATCCAGTACAGCCCTACTTTCTGTCTAAGCTTTTTCATGGAGATAATAAAAACATATGCACCAAGGGCCTGGGGATAAATTCCATGCGTTGCTCTTTAGCCTTCACCTGTCTAGTTTTACATAGCCATGCACTCGGGTTTACTTTCTTTTCCCATGTTCAGCCTTGAACACAAAGGTAGTAAGATTGTGGTGTGCAGCAATCTCTTTCTGGACAATAGGTATTGGCAGCCTTGTTCGCTCCACTTCTTGGAAAAGACTGAGTTATTGGAACAAAACATTAAAATTGATAGCTTTCTGATTGAAGTTCGTCATGAGCCTGGTGAGCACTTTCTGGCCCTTGCTGGAGACTGTACTAAGAGACCGGAGGGAAGGAAGCTTGCTTGCTCACCGCAGCTCATGAAGGGTGGCCAGTTCTAGAGAGAAGTTTTTGGTTGGTTTGTTGATTTGGAGCGTAGTTTCAAAGGACCTTCTCATCAAGTAGTTTGTTGATGCCATCACAGATCTTTTTGAGGTATGGCCGACAATCCCCATCAAGACTGTACAGGGCAGTTAGAAACTCCACATCCGCAAAGTGGTTGAAGACGTGGTTGATGCGCCCGTGGGATCTCGGCGTCAGGTGTCGATCTACCAGTTCATGCACAAGGTCTTTACACTCATTCAGAAGTTCTGCAAGAACATTTCTGTCAAAGGTGTACTCTACCTCATAGAAACTGACAATTGTCATGGCAGTTTGATTCAGCTTCTTCCTGAACTTGTCTACGATTTCCAGCTCTTCTTGGTTGAACTGATTATTTCGATACAGGATCCCAATTTTTATTGCCACTTTAATCAGGTCTTTCATAATTTTATGGGCTTCCTTTTTGTTTCTCGTATGTTCCTTTGTTACTTTGTACAGCTCATCAAAGATTTCGCTGCTCGTGTCATCGATGAGCATGTTAGCCATGGTTTTGGTTGCCATTTTACTCAGGATCTTTTTCTGGGCTTGCAGTGCGAGATTCTTGGAACTGAAATAATCGGGACCTGTTTCAGCATAGGAGAGAAGAGGGAAAAGGTTAATTTTATTTGGTGAATAATTTTCATAAGCACTTAAGAAAAGCAGTGCTTAACTAGTAGTACATGCTTGACTGAAACATTACGTGTATCACCGATCACCATATAGTCATGGCTGCAGTAGCATGAACACTTCCAACACTATTTCCAGGTACCTTTGGGGTCTTAGACATCTATGTTTCAGGTCTTGCTGTCGCTTAGGCTATTTGCTCGTGAATCAAGAACAGAACGTTCTGGCAGGGGATATCTTGTGCTGGTTCTTTGCTAGGCTTTTAATTCTGAAGTTCAATATTAAAGCTTTCTTGGCAGAGAGATCCCCTTGAGATGTTGTGGTCAAAATAATACATAAGCTATCAGGGACAAGCAAAATGAGAGACTGACAAATAAATACATGACCCTGAAAGAGTTACACTTTCGGTCATTGGGAGGCACTGTTGTTCTACTGTTACATCTCAGCTAAGGGCTAATAAAGCAGATTCAGTTCATCTGCGTGGATTTGGGACGTGGTTTAGTGATGGACTTCGCAGTGCTGGGTTAATGGTTGGACTTGATGATCTTTTATAACCTGACAGATTCTATGTTTTATTTTGCTTTAATCACTGATAGCGATGCCTTTCCTGTTTGTTACAGGTTTGCAGTTACAGAATGTGATTTTTGTGACATGTGGGTACTTCAGTGCATTCAGTTCCACCAAACGAAAGTACCCAAGCTATTTGCTCTACATTTATCAAACCAATATCTTGGATTTTTAATCTTTTACCTCTCTGTGCAAGTTTCACTCAGGTGCAGCACCTGAGTGAGCATGTGGCTACTCCTGCTGGACTTTACCCAATGAGCTTCTATAAATATTGTGAGAGATTAATTTGACCTTCCTCTGTCTTTCACATTAATGCTGGTTTTTAACTGACCCTGTGTGAACAAAGTAAATGAAACAGCTTTTGTATGAAATAATCATCCAGTTTAACACCAGGGTACTGAAGTTTCTGTTGGATCAAAAGACATTTTGCCGCTGTAGCCAAATGGTGAGTGTGTGTGTACTTGGGCTTACAGCTGATGAGGATGGGTGCCAGCAGAGGCCTCTTTGGTACGAGATACCTTCTTCGCCTTTCCCTCACACCTCCTCTTAGTGTTTGCTCACACAGAGGAGATCCCTGTCTTTCCCTGCCAGCTGGAGATCTCGCTGTGCTCACCAAGAGACCAGAGCCTTGCCTGGTGCAAAGCGGATGGAGGTAATCGATGGAGGTAACCACAAACAGCTTATGGATAACAATGAAAAACAAAGTTCCCAGTGCTGATTTCAGTTTGGAGCCTGGGTGTGTTGAAGCTGGTTGGGTGAGCTCTGGGGACCCTTTCCAGCCTTCAGCACAGGAATGCTGTCACCCCACTGCGCAGCCATCGTCTGTCACATCTGACCATGGCTCAGTCTGATCTGCAGCCTCACTCATGCTGCCATGGGTTCACCCTCTCCTTCCTCCCTGTGCTCCCTACATCCTTGCACGAGGAAAAAGGGGTGCTGGTTGCCAGTGCTCACTTTGAATAAGTAACCCTCTGAATTTAAAATCTTCTGTTTAAATCCTGTTTTTCAAGTTAGTTGGAATATTAAAGTTGTCATCTTTCTTTGTGTGCTACAGCTGTACTACTGAGCAGTATGAAAGAGTAACATTTAATTTCAAATGAACCACCACCTGGAAAAAATAATTCAATGTGCTTAAAAGAATTGCCTGTCATTTGGAGAGAAAATTGTGGGGCTGAGCTGCCGACTGGAGGAAATGGAAAAAACTGTGATTTAATCTAGAAATGATAAAACCAGGATGAAAGCATTCTTTCACTTAGCAGTACGTGGGTATATAAATAGTATCAGTGATGAATAATTATGTGCATTTGATACAGTAAAATGGAAGATTAATATTAGCGTCTGTTCCTGTAGTGTTTGCTATTAATCAAGTGGATGCAGTTGTTCAGTATCTGTTTTGATCAAAACCTGCAGGTAACTGCAGTTAGAATATTGATTTTTCTAGTGTTCATGACACTTGTGTGTCACTGTCGGCAGGTCACAGACCTGTTGGCTCCTGCTGCAGGGAGAGCTTTGTCGAGCAGCGGCAATTCCACAGCTGGAGCCAAAGCAGCGGTTGTGGCGCACAGAAAGCGGTGGCTGGCAAAGCACCGCGTCCCCATCGCACGTCTCCAGTGTGCCAGGACATCTGTGGGGGAGCCAGCACCAGCACAGCCACCAGCACATCTCACACACGCATGAACGCAGCTGCCCTCCCACCTATGTGCTTTCTGAGAGACAACATTTGATGCTATATTAGCACATCAAAGCTTCCAGTAAACTTAGCAGAAGTGAGGTCTGTCTGGCCCCAGAAAAGTGGTTCTGAGGTTCCTGTGTTCAAAGTCCTGGCTGTCATCCATGAAACTAATGATCTTCAAAGGTGTTTTTTTCCCCCACTACACCCCTGGGTTTGGTACCTTAAATCACAGTAACACAGCTCCCAGCAAAAGGTGCACAAGCTATGAAATGGGCAGCATGGCCAGAGAGCACCAGGAGGAGTTTAACTGAATGTTAGGCTGGAGCTTTTTTCCATGGCGAATCCCAAGAGCGGGATCTGCCATTCAACAGCATGAGACTGAGCTCCTTCTCACCTTTCTAAAAGCGAAATAAAATAATCTGTTATTTCGTTGGCATTGCTAAACTTTTTTCTAGAAGCTTTATTCCCCTTTCCTCTATCATTTCCTTTACCAGGCCCTAATGCTATATCCATCCCCTCCTCTCGTATCTCTTGCTCTCCTCTACTCAAACCAGAACCTCAGTTTCATGGCTCCTGTTATTGCTGTGGCCTCCTTCGCCACTCTCTGCTCTTGCCTCTCCAGCCTGTCTCACCATGGCAGCTCTACACCTAAGCTGTGCCAGCCATGGGTGCTCAGAGCCCTCAGAAACCAGGTAGATCCAAATACTTTGTGCACATTCCTTTCCCCTGCCTCCTTCCATGATTTGTGATGCTTTGTCTATTGTAAAATCTAATAGCTGGTAATTAGTTTCACCCCCGTGACTGCCACGCGCTCCTCCCCGTGAGCCGTCCCAAGCAGAGCAGGTCCCAGTGGAGAAGGGCAGTGCTTGGTGGGGACACAGGACAAACCTGTGCACCTGCAGCACAGGATGGTGCTGTATGTTAAATACAGAAGCTGCAGACGGCTGCCACAGACCCTCCGCCACAAGAAAACGCTGGAAGCTCAGGGAGGAGGAGAACTGGCGCATCCCAGCTGCGCGAGCAAGCTGCCAACCTGGACTCCGGGATCAGCGCTCCGCAGAGCCTCAGCCCCTGGTGTCCAGCTGCCTGAGTGCCTGCTGGAGGGGTCAGGCTATGTGTGTGCAGTGAGGAGGAGGTAGACCGCAGTCATCAGCCACCTTGTGCAGTCCAGACAACGGCATGGGGGCTGTTCGCAAACGGCTGTGCTCAGCTCTGCTTATATTCAGGGCATGCACAGTTTTACAGCAGGGTATGCTGGAAGGCGTGAGAGACACTGTTTGGATTCCTGCCTCCAAAATCACGTCCTGTTCAGACACCAAGGTGATGCTTTGCCTTTCCAAGATCACAAGTAGTTAGCCACATGATTAAACCCAAGCTTTCATGGGGACTGCAGGTTCACTGTGGCAGTCTTTTCTTACTGCAGCACATTGCTCATTACACAAAAAAACAACATCTTCGCCTCCTACATACAGCAATTCTATTTTCTGCTTTCTTTCATACAGCAAAACAAATCAGCAACAACATTATAGATTCCATTAGCTTTCAAGAACATTACACCAAAGCTAAAAATGAAAACCCAACCTCTGAGCATGCTGCTTTGCTGGGTAATGATTAGCTTCCATTACAGAAAGTCTGACATCTTAGTTTTTACTGAAGTAAGAACCAGTTCTGCCTTCAGATCTGTTCTTTCCCTCTCTTTCTGTCATCTGGAGAGATGTGTATGATAAAAGCTATTAAAAAAGCCCTGGATTGGTCCCATAACAATCAACATCCATCAAAAAAGTGCAGTTCTTCAGACCTGTATTTCCACAGCTGTGGTGCCTGAAGAGGCAATGGCGCAGACCCAGCTGCATGAGGGACGAAGGGGAGAGGCTCCCTGTGCCTGGGCAGTCCTGTGGTCAGGATGCTGCACCACTCCCTGCTATTGACAGCCGTGCTTCTGGCAGATGGTGCTGAGGATGACAAAGATGTCTCACATCCACTAAACTTAATAACAGGATTGCTTAATAACAGAGTTGCTTAATAACAGAAGTGTGGAAAAAGTTTGGCAACTCCAGAGGGTGGATGTAAGAGTTCTGTATTTTAGAAGTTTTTGAGATAAAAATGCAAAAGCATCTGTAATATTCTTGAAATATTTTGGTTCCAGATGGCTGTACCAAGTACAAAATGGTTAGAACTAAATGCTCAGCAATACTATTTTCATGTAAATATCCATTCAGCCACTCTGTACAAAACACATGGCAGAACCAGTGAACCAGAACATGCTCCCACTATGCCCAGGAGAGAGCCTGGTCGACGTTTTCTGGAAGCAATTATGCAGACGTAGAAACAACCCCCTGAAATGAATCCATTTCCCTCCCAGTTAGCCACTTCTCAGTCAAAGCCTTAATAAAGTTTTGCAGCCAGGATATTTTCTCCGCTGGCAAAGGGCTGAAAGATGTGCTGAAGTGAGCTCTGGAGGGAGTGCTGCCTCATAGATGAGTACGGAGACACCAGGAGTTAATCTGGTCTTTCTCTGGAGTTTGCCTAGTGCAGTTTTAATTGTATTAGCAGGCTTGCTTGGAAAGGAGGGATACAAAGCAATTTCTTTGGTTCTGTGGAGTTACATCTGACACTGGGAGTTGTTACTGTAGTCCCTGCTGCAGCTTGCACTAATTAACCAATTACCTCAACCACTGACTTCACCTGATCTAAACTGAATCACACTTGGAGCTGTGTGTCTGATCTCCCACGTGCTGCGAGTACAACCCCAGCTCCCAGCAGCTGGTGATGGGCTGTGTTCTCAAGCCATTCCTAAGTAGGGCATTTGAAGAGGGGGAGGAGGGAGCTTGAGAGCATCCTGGAAAGGGGAGTTAAGCTGTTGTAAGTTGAAGGACTGAGCTAAAGATATGAAGAGGATGCATGACTGCAGTGGGATTCTGCAGCCTGGCAGGAATGGGAGGTGATGGGAATGTGAGAAGGTTTCTGCATCTGTGATCCAGTTGTCCTGTAAGTAGGCAAAGGGCTGAATCTTAACAAGAGGGAAATACACCAGAAAGTAAAGATGGTGTAAGGCTGAAATATTTTTAATACTCCTGAATCCTCAATTTTCAAATGCAGAACAGCCTCTGCAGCAAAAGACAGGCTTTAAGGAGTCAGCAGTGCTGGTGGACATGCAGGCATCCCTCCAGCTACTAGCAGTTGCTCTGGCTTGTGGGAGACGGACTAAGCCAGGCGACAGGCACACTCCAAGGAGTCTGCCACAGTATGAGATAGCTGGGTTGTGAACATTGGTGTAGGAATGTGCTGTTTTAGTGATTTGTGTGACCCAGTTTGTATTTTAACCCAGTGGCCTACCTGCCCCTGAGCCTGGAGAGTCTGGACAGCCGAGGAGAGGGAAGGAGGCAGCTGTATGATAAAGTTCTTGCAGAGAGCTAAATGAGCAGTGGATATCTGCACGGTTATTCCAGTGTTGCTGCTGGTAATTTACATGGCTGGCAGCTTGTTTCATTATAACCTGGAGTGATCTGTAATGTCTCTTTTTTTTCCTTGATATAAATGAGAAAGCATAAATAACATTTGAGGAAAATAAGAGCAAGGAGTTTTATTGAGCTGATGTGTAAATCTATAAGGACAAGAAAAAGCTAGTGCAGAATTGGAAAGGAGAGTGTAGAAAAACAAAGAGCAGAAAGATCTAGTTGTTTAATTTGCAGCATTTGGGCAAAATAGAGGTAACGAGCTGCAAACCTGTGTGTTTCACTTATCCTTGAAGAATCACATACATGCTATAAGACTGATTAGAAAAGTAAACCACAGAACTCAGGATTTCAAAATAGCTCTAAAAGCAGACAGGAAAAAAGTGCACTAAAAGCACTTCTCCCATAGTATTTAGCATGGCAGCCAGGGTGCTAGCTCTAAGTGTGCGTGTTGCTCTTGGACAGCTACAGGATCACTGCAGAAGAAACATTCAGTGTTTCCAGTAACTTTAAGCCAAGAAATCCAATAGACCAGATGGAATATATCAGCTTTCTGGGAGGGCCAATGTAAACATGTGTAAGCACCAGGGGCCCGGTGCTCAAACTCTTAACACTTCTAAATTGTTACTATGAACATAAAAGGGTTGCTCATTTCCATAGTGGAACAGGAGATTACAGACTGATAATTATATGATCCTGGGAGAATGTACTGGTATCCAAATGTCTGAAGGCAAAACTTGCTCATGTTGGAAATGGCAGCAATA